TTTTTTTTTCTATTGGGTTAAAACGCACGCCAAAAGTGATTGAATCTGTGTCACAGATTTAAAGTGTCACATGAAGCCAGGTTGGATTCTGCAGAGATAGGACGGCCGGGCAGAATACGCGCCATGGACAGATGTGCGAGAGAGAGGGGATTTAGTATCGAGGGAGGAATCACGCAGGGGATAAAGCTGGTGATGCATGCGCGCCCCAGCGTGTGCGTGGATGTGTGTGTGTTCTTGCTTTCTCTCTCTCTCTCTCTCTCTCTCTCTCTCTTTTTTTAATTCTGGGTTAAATGGTCGGTTTTCCAGCAGTGTTGACTACTCACTCGCACGACAGAAAAGCGGCTCACTTCACCTGCGGCGAGGGCTTAGGGGGAAGCCACCTTTAGTTCTCCGGCATGCACGAGTTATTGAATGTGTGGCTCTGATTATGTGTTTAAGTGAGAGAGAGTGAGAGAGAGAGAGAGAGAGAGAGCTCTCATGCCAGCAGCGGCAGCAGTGTCCAACTGCTGACCGATGGACCACACAGATTTGTACGCCCACACACTGTGGACAGCCAGGCACGAGAATATGCGTAGCAACAGAGACAAAACACTTGTAAATCTACTATCTGTATCTTCATGGGCAGTAAAATCCCTGTGCATCATTCATCTGAGAACAAGTTTTGGGTCTTAAAATGCAGAAGGTAGTGGACAGAGTGTGTGCTGATCAGATGGATTTTCTGCGGGTCCTGGACTCTAAATGTGCAGACTTACATGTTCCAAGTAGGCATGGGCATTTAAAAAAAAGTAAGAATATCATGCTTTCATGGTATTCACATAAAAAAAAAAACATGAATATCAAACATGATCTAACTATTGTTATTCAAAACAGATTAGCACCAGTTTTCTCTATTGTTGCAAAAAAAAAACATAGACATTTTACAGTTATAATATAAGTATGCATACTGTGTACATTGTTCCAAGTATAACATTTTCACCAATGACAGATGACCTGGATATAGCATAATTGTTCCTTAATCACTGGAAAGGTTTTTGAGTGGAATATTCAAGTCATTTCAATTAAATTCAAAATAAATCCCAGGAGCAAATTAAACATTGGAACTCAAGTTTTATTAAATAATTGTTTTGTTGATGGGTCTCCTTTAGTGGTCAGTACCACATTGTTGACTGGTGATAAAAGCCAGATGTTGGGGCTAAAAATTCCAAATATGGGAATGTATGGGTGAGTGTGCACTACACCCCTTTAAGAGGCCAAGTGACTGTAACTTGTGGCTGTCAGCAACCATCGGTTTGTTTTGTAGT